GACTTTACTTTTTTTCCTGAATTTGTTAAAGTACTATCAATAATACTATGATGCTATATTAGAACAACTCACAAATACTTCGAAACGAAACGAAACAAAACGATTTGTCCCAAAACAAAACAAAAATCATTTGTTCCATAAAATTAAAATTTTTAATGATAAGAAGCATGATGACCATGATAGAATTCTTATTGGAATTCATCGAGCATGGCCACCGTAACAGAAAATAAAAAACTATGTTTCTAGTTTTCTAAATAAATGATGCAACTTTGAATATAATGGTCCGTGAATAATTCACAATTAGGGTTAGTTGCTAGTTACCAAATACTTTCAAAAAACTTCCAAAAAACATGCAAATACTTCTCAAATACTGAAAAATACCTTACTGCCTTCCTACTCGCGATGCTACAAATCCAAGCGCGCCAGCCCGCTAGCCAGGAAACACTTTAAAGCCCCACTCCGCCCATCCCTCGAGCACCATTACGTCATACTTTATCACCGAGCCAACGAGCGTGTAAACAAACAAGTATTACCGCCATACAACAGCAACAGCACTTGGTAGTAGTAGTGGTGGTTGTGGTGGTAGTGGTAGTAGTAGTAGTTGTTGTTGTTGTAGCAGTAGAAGTAGTAGTTGTAGTTGTAAATGTTGTAGTTGTAACAGTAGTAGTAGTAGTAGTAGTAGTAGTAGTAGTAGTAGTAGTACTAGTGGTTGAAGAAGAAGTAATAATAATAATAATAATATTATCTGCCGTAATTAAAAAAAGATAAAAAACTTAAAATTTTTTTTCTTCGGCCTCCCTGGCGAATGAATGAGCGAATGAATGAATGAGTGAATGAATGAATGAATGAATGAATGAATGAACGAACGAACGAACGAACAAATAAACGAACGAACGAACGAATGAACGAACGAACGAACGAACAAACGAACGAACGAACGAACAAACGAACGAATGAACGAATGAATGAATGAATGAACGAATGAATGAATAAATGAACGAACGAACGAACTAACGAACTAACGAACGAACGAACCAATGAACGAACGAATGAATGAATGAATTAAAAAACAAAAATTTACGATCGACTGAATGTAAGAGCAGGCGAATGTATGAATAAACGAATGATTGATGGATGGACAAAGTTTGAGTGAATAGATTTTTGAATGATAAGAGAGGGAAAGTTTGAAGACAAATCGTTTTTTCATTCCTCCACTTCCTATTCTATTCATCCCCCCCCTTTCTTCCTTCATTCGAAACTTCCTACGTTCCTTTTTTCTTTTCTTCATTCATTCATCCATTCATTCACTCGTTTATTCATTTAATCACTCACTCATTCATTCATCCATTTATTTGTTCGTTCATTTATTCATTCATTCATTCATTCGCTCGTTCGTTTGTTCATCATTCACTCATTCACACACACACACACATTCATTCATTCATTCATTCATTCATTTAATCACTCATTCATCAGTTTACTAATCTGTCCATCAATCAATTTAGCATTTCATTTTTTGAGTCGCTTTTGATTTCATAATCTATCTCCCATTTTATTTACACCACCAAACAATCAGTCATTCAATCCATCCTTCATTCATCCACATTCATCCATTCGTCAGGCCATCAATCACAATATATATTACTTTCTCTCTCTCTATATATATATGCATATATACATATACATATTCATATTCATCCATTTATCCATATCCATCCATCCATCCATCCGTCAGTTCATTCATCCATTCATTCATCCATCCATCTATCCATCCATCCATCCATTCATCCATCTAACTTTTTATTTCTTTATTTACTTTGTCCACCTAGTCATCCGTGCATCTCTTTAATTATTCATCTTCTCTCATCCATTGATGCATACATGCATGCATGCATGCATCAATTTATTCATCTACTTCCATTCATTCATTAATTCATCTATTTTTCGTAATTCTTTTAACTTTCATCTACTTTTATCCAACAGTTTACCTACCAATCCATCCATTCATCTCTCCATCAACCCATCCAACCATCCACCCATCTAACCATCCACCCATCCACCCATCCACCCATCCACCCATCCACCCATCCAACCATCCACCCATCCACCAATCCAACCATCCACCCATCCAACCATCCACCCATCCACCCATCCACCCATCCACCCATCCAACTATCCACCCATCCAACCATCCATCCATCCATTCATTCATTGTTCCACCAGTATACTTTCAATTATTCTCCAGTTAA